AAAACCTAAACATAGTCATATAACACACGTTAAAAAATAGCAATTATCTATATAATAGTGTTCAACAGAACCTTCTACAAAGTTAGAAACATACGGCTGCCCAATAGCTACTAAGATTTAAATGCAGTTAATATAACTGAAACGTAATTTTAAAATTTTATTCACAATTACCTTAGTTACTATGCATGGTTTCTAATAAAGTGACTAGTGCACATCTACAATTTAAAAGAAAACTTTACAATTATTAATCAGTCCTCAAAATGGTAAGTGATTTTTTTAAAAGTGAGTATACAAAGTTTATTTGTCCTATATATAAGTTATAAATAAAAGCAAACTCTAAAATAAAAATATTCCATCTTTTAAACAAAACAAAAGTGAAAACGACTAAGTGCATGTGGGCTCACATAGCAAACAGGAGAATAAACAGACACCTGAAATGGGACAAATAGTGAGGGTGCACAGGGCACCGGAAATGGGGAATAGTGAGGGTGCACAGGGCACCTGAAATGGGACAAATAGTGAGGGTGCACAGGGCACCGGAAATGGGGAATAGTGAGGGGACACAGGACACCTGAAATGGGGAATAGTGAGGGTGCACAGGGCACCGGAAATGGGGAATAGTGAGGGTGCACAGGGCACCGGAAATGGGGAATAGTGAGGGGGCACAGGGCACCTGAAATGGGACAAATAGTGAGGGTGCACGGGACACCTGAAATGGGGACAATTACTAAGAATAAAAAAGACCAAGAGTTAAAAATAATGACCACCAAGTCATACAGGCAAGCAGGCAAACTTTCATGTCTAAAGGAAAATATTATAACTCAAAGAACTTTAATGATCCACTTCAGGAGACAGAATGTATCTAAAGAAAAGATGAGACTATTTGGCAAAGCTCATACTATGTTAATCTGCAAATGGTATTATAGATGTGTATTTTTAGAACAGACCTTGACAGACCAAATAACATACTTCTTTGGCATCTAGTATGAAAATGCTATTGAATCCTGAACTCAGTTATTTTAAATAATGTTAAAATTTAAAATTGCTAACACTGGAGCTTTTTAATTAAAATGTGGCAAAAAAATTTTCAGAACCATATAAACTCTAAATTAGAAATTCTAGAGACTGGACACTGATTTACATTGTATTATGGTTTTGTTTCTGTAATAAAAATAGGGATAGTTACCACTTCATTAGCCTGAGATAAGGAACAATTAATTTAAAAGAATACAAACCTCTTAAAAGTAAAAATAGAGTAGTGGCTTAAAATGAATATTAAAATAATGTAAGGGGAAAATATTTAATAAAATGAATCTCCAGGTAAAAAATAATTCAATCATCAAATTTCCTTATTTAAACTCAAGCTAGTAGATCTGTTAAACACGCATATGTCTTGTCAGACTGAAAAGATGTTGAGAAGCACAGTGATGGCGAAGCTACACTACTGCCATTGACCATCACAATGATTGGTCTTTTCTTGTGCATCAATTTGGCAATGTGTCTTGAGACCAAAAGACAAACAAACAAAAACAAACAAGCAAACAAACAAACAAACAAAAAAACAAAACAGCCTAAGTCAAAAAAACCAATCCAGCACAAAACAAACAGCAGCAACAAAACTGAAGGCTTTGGCTCTTGGCTTTCTCAGGGTCTGCCCATAAGATGAGGCCTCACCTGCTTCTCCTATGACAGCGACTGGACTCTTTCTTGGCTTTCTCAGGGTCTGCCCATAAGGTGAGGCCTCACCTCCCCTATGCAGCGTGGACTCTTTCTTGGCTTTCTCAGGGTCTGCCCATAAGGTGAGGCCTCACCTGGCTCTTGGCTTTCTCAGGGTCTAACCCATAAGGTGAGGCCTCAGACACCTGCTTCTTCTATGGCAGCAACTGGGCTCTTTCTAATTCTTTTTGCTGCTTTCCCTATTAGGCCTGAATTTCTTACTGGGGATATGTCATACTTATTTTGGCATCTAGTATGCCTGAAAACCTGAGATTAATAAAAATGTCATGAATGTATATGAGATAGACTTAAATAAATGGAAGACCAAAGTTAAATATCATACAAAAGTTATAGGGAAATTCAACAGAATGAAAAATAGTCACTTAAAAAAAAAAAAAAAAAAACCCAAATGGAAAGCCCATAAAATGTGTCACAGATATGGTGAGAGGCAGGGACCCTCAACAAGCTGTGGGTAAGTAGAATGCTAGGCCAAACCTGTTCTTGGAATAGTGACAGAAAGTAACACCGTGAAAGGGAACTAGATGTGTGTTATAGAAACAGGACATATCCACAGACAGTCACAAGTTTCCAACAATTAAGCCGTAGGATTATAAATTTGCTTTGAGAAGAGTGACAGGACTGAGCAATGCAATGGACTGGAGGAGAAAAGGTACCAAACAGATCCAGAGAGAACAACAAACAATAGCTTATAGACAGGAGGTTGAGAACTACAAGCAGAGTAGTAATAATTCAACAGAGCAGAGTAACCTGATTTGTATTAAGAAATAGAAAGGTGTGACATCAATGTATTCACTCCCATCTTTAGTACTTCGTCTTCAGTTTAAGTCACTGCTGCCCAGTACAAATGTGAATAAATCCAGATCTCACTACATTCTAAGCACGGCTTTTGTACGGGCTCCCATCTTTTTAGATTCCTTTCTTTAAATGATTTAGTTCTAGTCATACCTCACTTAACTTTGTTCCTCTCAACACTCATTTTTTAGGAGGAACTTTTGAACAGGTGATCCCACTGCCTGAAATACTCCTCTAACTAGATCTGTACAAGGATGGTCAGTACAAACCTCTTCTCGGAGATTCCTTCAATAATGGCGGTTCCTGGGGAACTAGGAATAAATGTGACCAACACCAGATGGAAAGTGGTAATAATATTCTAGCTATTACACTTTGATGACTTTGAAATTTAGTGACTGTACAGGAATACTAGTTACCCTATCTTCAATACTTAAGTCTTCAGCAATTTTTTCTTTGCTGTTCAGGTTTTATTTTGTTTTGTGATAGAATCTTCCTACATAAACCAGGTTGCATGGGAATTCCCAGAGCCCTGTCTTACTCTCTGCAGCAGCAGAATTAAAGGAGTGTGACATTTGTCATCCTGACTCCAAGCTACTTTGATCTATAGGCTCTCCCACATACCTACCCTGAATCTTGTATGTGCCTTCAAATATACTAGTGTGGGGGGGGGAGAGAGAAAATTTAACTATTTGTATTGATGTGCACATCTTATATTGCTCTGGGGGGGGACCAGAACAGTTTAAACAAACAAACAAACAAACAATCAAAACAAAACAAAACAAAACCAGTTTCCCAGCCAGGGAAAACATGTGAGCTAAATAAGCAAAATGACTGACTCTGGACCACTCTTATTTCTGAGTGTATGGTTCTACACCAATGCCATCACCTCTCCATTTCCATTTAATATTTACAGAAAGATGAATCAAAATTCTTCCTCTGAGATGTAGTAGTTTTGACTCTTTTAAAAACAAATTCAGCTACTATTTGGCTAGTGATGTGTAATCCTATGTGTTTTTAGGATGAGGTCTGTTTTTTCACACATTGATTAACAAAGTTCTTAAATGGTCAATGAGGAAGTCCCTTCATCTTTAAAAACAATCAGTACTTTCTATGAGCCTCATATGTGCCGATACAAAGGTGCTTTAGTTTCTGGAAACTGGCACTAAAGAGACCAGGTACTGCCCTCGGAGAAGAGCTTATTTTACAAAATGGGTGACTCCTGAACTAACTGGGAGAGGCAAGATAATTAAAATGATTCCCACTGCACACATTAGCTGCAGTTTAGCTGATCTCTCAACTCCTGATTCTTTTGAGTGATTGCCATTTTTAAGCAGAAAATCCCATCTGTTGAACAATGTAGGTAATTCGGTAGTAGTTCAAGTCATCTGATGTTTCAGTGTTTTGGAACATAAAAGAAAGATATGAATGTCAGAAAACTAGAGGACTGACATTGTCATAGATAGAACACACTGGAAATGTTGCAGGTTAAATATTTCTAATGCACTCTTTTGTGGATTCATAGTAAGTGCAGCTATAAAGATGAACTTTGATAACATTGTATAACAGGTGAATCACAAAGCTTTCTAAATCACTACTTTACTTTGCATGCAGGTTAAACATCCCTGAATACAAAATACAAAATTTTGAGGGCACTGAATCAATATTCAAAAAGTTTTGAATTCGAACCATTTAGGATTTGGAATTTTTGGATTAAGGATTACTAACTGACAAACTCTACACAGCCAGTCAAAATATGACATGCTCTACTCCCAAGAAATTGTGGCAAGGAATGGCTAACCTTAAGCAATTGATTCATAAAAACTTTGGGAGGTAACTACTATTATCCCCATTTACAGCAAAGGCCAACTGAGACGGAGGACATTGAGAGTAATCTGACCATGGTTGTACTGTGTATTACCTAGAACTCAAAATGGATCTCTTAGGCAAACCCAAGGATTTCATAATAGACAATGCAGAAAGATGAGGTCTCATTTGTAATGGTGATAGGACATTTACTATGCAAAAAGAGGTGACTTTTTTATGTGAGTGTGAATAGATTAACAGACCAGGTTATTTACACACCCGAAGTGCACCCAGAAAAAACAAGAAGGGTAACCACGGTAAATAGTAAGGAGGAGGACACAGATTAATTGTGCTGGGAGGCAGTAAAAATGTATACACAGAAATAAGCTCTCCGAGTATTACCAATATAAATAATCATACAATATAACCCTTTCAGAATCATGTACAGGAAAGGTCAGAAATTGATAAAGCTAATATTCTTTGGTTGATGTGCAGTTTCATTTGGATATTTTGAAATCTTTGGAAAGAATCTGTAAAATCAAAATGTATTTTAAAAAATGACTTTGCAAGTAGAATGCTGAAGTCACTTAAGGTTCCCACCGTGTTTAGGTTTCAGAGAAGAAACGCCATTTTGAATTAGTGAACAAAGCCCAGCTCTACATACGTACGTTCTTTTGACGTCTTGCTCAATCATGGACCGCAGCTCTTTATCTTGAAAGAACTTGTTCCAAAGACTCTGGAAAAATGAGAATAACCTAATTAAAACAATCTCACACTGCTTGACTTTTATGACTTCAATTTAATAATTTAAGTGATTGAATTTATTCTTCTCTAAGCTGCCACTTTAGATTTCTCAGAAACCTGACAGAAATAGTTTTTATTACAATCTGGTTTAATTCAAACCCGTTCCTGCCGTATGCACTTTAGACGCATCCATCGCCTCTGCAGGGCGGAGGACACGCTCCCACTGATGTCTTCTACTCACATTTTCAAAAGATAAACTCTGGGAAATGCCAAAAACGACATACTGACGGGGTAAAGTGGCACGCACCGTTAATCCCCTCACACTGGTGGCAGAGGCAGGCAGATCTCTGTGAGTTTGAGGCCAGCCCTAGCAAGTTTCAGTCTAGCCAAGGCCATGTAGTAGGAACCTCTCTTAACAAAACAAAGGAACAAAACCAACCGTTTAAAAATTACTTAATATCTTATGGCACTATAGCAAAGTTTACACATCAGAAAAATACTAATATATCTATAAAATGGGAAAAATTTCTTTCTCAACTACATACTTATATGTAGAGCAGCAACAAGAAAGTAAGTTATATAGTCTCTGTTAAGAAATAACTGTCTTATACTCCACCAGGATATGAGCTTCTCCACAGTCACGATGGGTAGTTGCTTTGTTCCAAGGACCAAATGTATACTTCTAAGCTGTTCCTTAGCTACTTTGACAGTCCTACCAAATGTATAGCTGTTCCTTAGCTACTACGCTCTCCATTGCAACTCAGATGCCACCATCCTCATGGGATGCTCTTCTGTTTTAGAGTTAGTTCTTATGAGACCCCGTGTAGTTCCCCCTAGTCTCACTTATAATATACAAGCTCACGCTCAGGCATGCACACAGCATGCACAACACACACACACACACACACACACACACACACGTATGTCTCAGGGATTGAACCTGGGTGGTTTCAGGCAAGTACCTAAAAATTGAATTTTGAACATGAAAATTCCTAAAATGTGAACACAAGCCTGTAACTAGCAGTTAATTATTTAGATGAAAGTTAGCCAGGGACAAATAGACAATCCATTTATTTCCCAATGTTCTAATGGATTAATGTTTTCAATTAAATTAGCTAAATTCTGGCAAATTTTCCACCCAGGAAAATGGAGTCCAAGAAAACAGGTAGCCAGTTTTATGTTGAAGCATAGCTCAACATAATTAATGTCAATATGTTTGAAGTCAAAATCAATCATATAAATTTATAATAACAATGAGATATATTTTGGAAGGCAACAGCCAACCTGAAATTACCATTTATTTTTCAAAAACAGAGCAATCCTACATTTAGAAAAGCAAGAAATAATTTATAGTGCAGTGATAACTTAGGAGAAATTTCTGTGGTGTAGATCATGACAGCTCCCAAAGGCTGCTGTGTTGAAGGGTTAGTGGCTTCACAACACTGGGAGGGGGAGAACATTCCAGAGACAGACCCACAGGTGAGACTTACCTCAGCAGGTAAGACGCAAGCATGAGGCCTGAGTGTGCATCCTCAGCACCACATACAAAGCTGGTATGGCCTTTTGTGGTTGTAACTAGCACTGGGGAACAGAGACGGGGGATGCTACTCAGCTGGACTGACAGCAAGCTTGAGTTTTAAGGAAAGGACAAGTCTCAAGAAAACAAGGCCAAGAAGATAGAGCAGGATACCACACCCACCTTTGACCTCCACAGGTGTGTATATATACATGCAATACACACACACACACACACACACACACACACACACACACTAGGATTTAGGTAATTCAGTATTTAGAATAATGAGAACGCAGGGCATGAAATACACTGTTTGCATAGGGATTTTCATATAAAGTATCCTTACCCTACACAGATAACATAAATCATTAAAGCATGTTTTTCAGAATGAAAAAAGTTGGAACAAGAACAGAGAAAGGGTTTAAGAGATGATTCTGTAGTTAACAGCTCTGGCTGCTCTTACAGAGGACTTGGTTTGGTTGTCAGCACCCATATGGTGGCTCATAACAACCCGTAAGTCAAGTTTCAGGGAATCTACCATGCTCATCTTGCTTCCAAAGGCACCAGGCACACACAGGGAATACAGTCATACATGTAAGGCAAAACACTCATATACACAAAATAATGAAATACTGTTTAAACAAACAAATAAACGTAATAAAAAGGAACATTACTCCTTCATCTTGTGAAAGGGGATTGTTGATCATCAGATCCTGTTGGCCAACAACTTTCCTTGGGTTAGTGATATGCTGGTAAGAAAAGAGATACAAAGCAAGATCAGAGGCTAGTGAACTTTAAAGTAACCATTTGAAAATAACTGCAGTTACATTTACTCTTTACTTACTATTTCTTTAATACTGTTATACCATGCTCTTAGTTCTTTAATTCTACTTATCCACTGACTTTTATCTTGAGGAAGAACACAAAGAAAGAGCTGTTGAGAGGGGGAGAAAAAGAGAAAATATTGTAAAAAAGAAAAAAACCCAAAACCCTATTAAGTATGAAAATCAGGCTAAATAAGATCTTTTTGAAAATTTAAAAAACCACCACAATTTTAACATGTCCCATACAATATAATCATTTCAATTCCCAATAGTATGTTCATGGATACATTAAAAATATGTTTAGAATAGTCAAAACCTAAGCAATCAATGCTTAAAAGCAAGAATTAAAAAGCTAAACCACAGAATAGATTTAGCTTTCTTCAAGATTTATTCTAAAAAGAGAGGAAAACACAGGGAGCTGCAAATCTAATAGTCCTGGGAGTGGTAGGAAGGTACTGCCCACATCAAGTCAGTGACCTGAGGGCTGAGGGCACAGGAATGAGGCTGCACCTTAAACAGCAGAGAATGTAATTTACAACTGGCAATCAGCTTTTCACAATAAGCATTCTTAAAAATGACAAATTTGATTTAATTTAGTTTAATATATCAATAAAATGAATAGACTTAGGTTTATTTTTAGTAAATGAAATATACTTAAAGTTAAACAACAGGGAGTGAAGGGTGGGGCACAAATATTTGAAGACAAATTTTCTAACAGCAGGTCTTCTGTCTGCTTCTTAAGAAAGAAAAATGTATTTTCATTATTAAATCTGAATTATTAAATCTAGAACTATAAAAATACATCATGGATTTCTTATTGTTTTGATTTGCACAGGCTCTACATGCTAAATTTATGCACACAGCCTTAAAAATGTTGATAGAGGTCATTTAAAATATAAGTCTACACCCAAACTCATTCATTTTCGACACAAGAAGGGCTAATTTTTCAAAGCAATTAAAACGGTGACAGCAGATTATCATTCGCATTTTTGGTAACCAATGACCCTTCTCTCTGAAGGACAATGACCCAGTTTCCTTCTGCCTTCCTGGTTGCCCTCCATTTTATGTTTCTAACAAATGAATGTTAAGTCTTTGCCATGTGCTCCTTAGTAAGACAAAAGGAGGATGGCTACAGGGTAGCAGCTCAAATAACAGGGTCTTCAAGCTTACCCCCTCCACTTCTGCCTCCTCTAGGAAATGTAATAGTGCTGCTCTACAATGTTCACTACTAAGGGAAAGGACAAGAGTTACTTCAAAGAATCCCTTTACTAGCTCCAGCTCCACTTGCTCAGGTGCCTCAACCTTACGAGAAAATGTCCTATGAAAGGTCAACATGAGTGGCTTTAAAAAAGAACAAAAACACAAAAGAAGTGACCCATGTGTGGGAAATCTCCCAGGGCATTAGGTAATGTGCAGATACGCTGCCACCACAAACTGTAAATAAATATTTCCTTCTTACCTTCCAGCAGATGCTGCGGAACCTGCTGCTTCTCAGCTGCCCATTAATCCCCTTCTGTCTTATTGTTGCCAAGTAATTGTTGTTTACAAATAGTTCTTCCCATTCTTTCCTGTAGGAAAGAAACCAGATCAATGGTGTCCTTTTGTTAAAATCTACTGAGAGAGGACTGCTACAGGATACTAATCTTAAATAGCCTAAGACATTTAACTTTTAAAATGTATGTATTTAGTGGTGTTCTGTCTGTGTCTGAACGAATGGCTGTCTTCTTGGACACAGTTCTTCTGTAGATTTAATGAATATGTAGATCGCTATAATTATCCTAGCTTCTTAAATTTGTAATGTCTATGGAGGCTATTCCATTTCCTCGAAAACAGTGGTAGTGTAGTTCTGTGAATAAATAAGAAAAATGAGTCTTATAAAATATGACTTATTTATCTATTAACAAAATTACACCTGTTTCCAAAATTACATAAGAAAGCAGTGACCTGTTGTTTATACTGACTTCTCACAGGAAATACCTCTTCGAATAACCCTGTTTTGTTTCCTGCTACGCTGGACAGTTAAATGCAGTAAAATACCACCTTTTTACACTGTACATGCTGCCTACTGAAATCTCCACAGCTCCTTTCTACATAATCAGTGGGAAAATGTCAACAGGTACAGAGAAATTTCAAGAAAGCATCAAAAAACTTAAAAGCTTCAGTGTAAAAACTGTTAAAGGCAAGCTTCAATGCCCGTGGTACCTGTGGCTGAGTAGATACATAAACAACTGAAACATGCCTCACAGGCATGCAGACACCGGGGGCCCACACCTGTGCCTCATTAATATACAAGTTAATCTGCTCCACTGGGAAACAATTGGAAATTAATTGTCCCAAACCATCACCTGAGGTTGACTAAAGGCATTAGAGCCACATTCCCAGCATCTTGCACCAAACTAAACCTAAGAGTCATTTGTCAAAAGCCGAGGCTACTGTGATCAGCTTCATGAAATTACCCTTAAATTCCACAATACTACAATAAAATTGACTTATGTAAAATTCAGTATCAAAGCCAAAATCTTAGACACAGTATCTAAAGCAAGATGGCCTAAGAAAGAAAGCTACTGAAAGCTCAGAAACACAAGGCCCTCACAGTCCAGATTCCATGTATGCTGAGAAAGGGCACATTAATAATATGTTGAGGAAATGTTAAAAGGCCTGGAGATATAGTTCAGTATTTCCATGGCATAGGCATTTCAGTCCTCAGTGCAGAGCATGGAGTGGGAAGGGGCTCCTGAGGCACCCAAACCTAGCTCAGGAGCTCTGGCAGTTTTGGCTGCTTGGGAGGAAGTATGATGTTTATTCTTCCTTGTCAATTTGACTATATCTGGAGTCAAATGATACTCAAAAATGGAGGGCAAACCTGTGAGGGTTTTTTGCTTATTTGAAGAAAAAGTCCACACACTTTTAATCCATATTCTTTGATGTGGGAAGATATGAATTCATACACACACACATAGACAGACACAGACACACAAACACACACACAGAGAGACAGAGAGAGAGAGAGAGAGAGAGAGAGAGAGAGAGAGAGAGAGGAAAGAGAGAGATTCCGTTACTCTAGATAGCCTTGACTAACTAAAGGCCACTGAGAGATAACCATACCCCAGTGACACGCATGTATACTCAATGGACTCAGTGGGTTAAATATCAAGTATTTTTCAATTTCAAAGAGTTCCACATATACTCATATTGAGTTTTTATAATGCTCTATAGATGGCTATGAGCCACCATGTGGTTGCTGGGACTTGAACTCAGGTCCTCCGGAAGAGCAGCAAGTGCTCCTAACCTCTGAGCCATCTTTCCAGCCTGTGGATAAATTTTCAAACAAATGATGATAAGATTAACAAAGCTCTTGGGTAAAGAAATGGTTTATTATAAAATAATTAAAATCACAGCTACTGAAGTTTTACATACAAGAATTGACATATCTGAAGGTAAATACACTACTAAGGGCAAGGTGGTCTAGAGGAGCTGAACCAAGATGAATTTTTTTTTTAATGATCAAAAATATGAATGATAGAACTAAATGATCCTGAATTAGAGGGAAGATAACATGCAACACTCGGGAACTGATGGTAGAGTTTTCCAACTTATTTAGTAAAAATAAAAGAAGAGCAGTCAGCAAATTTTGTCTTATACTATAGCTCACATATACAGGGCAGTGGGTAGATCTGAATTGCAAATATGATAAAAAGTTCATTGTAATATTGTAGAGGAAAAAAAAAAAACCTTTTTGCCTATTTGTTTTTGTTTTTCCAGACAGGGTTTCTCTATGTAGCTCACTCTGGAACTTTTTCTGTAGACCAGGTTATTAAAGGTGTGAGCCACCACAGCTTAAGGAAAGAACTTTTAACTCTTACAGAAGCCAGTTTCTTTAATTATGTGTCTTTAACTCTTCTTTTCAAATGATAAGACGATTTAGGAAAGTTAACTACTTTCCTAACAAATCAATATAACAAATCAATATAAATTAGGAATGAGCCTTTCTAGAGCAAGTAAACTACAGACAGATGATCCAGACAGCATGAGGAAAGTGATCTGTCAAACAGAACAGACATGGGATCTTATACGTTCTCCTCAGGCGTGAGTTACTATTCGTTCATCAATACTCTGCCTGAGAAGATGTGTTATGACCACAGTGAAGAATGACCTGGTACATTTAAACGTTTAAGAATTCTTTACTTTTTAAAGATTTTGTACATGAGTAATGCATTTACATATTTCACTACTCCTTCTCTTCCCTCCAATCTTTCCCACATATGCTCAACTCCCCGTGAAATGCACGGTTTTCTTTTTTTATTACTATTACTGGTTTATACACATACAAACTAAAACAGGATAGAGCTCACTAAGTCCAGGTAGTTAGTTTTGCTCACATGCATGTTTAAGGCTGACCACTTAGTACTGCATGAACATTTAGGTGGGCTTATCCTTAGGGAAGATATATGTTCCCTCCCTCAGCAATCATTAATTGTAGCTCTTCATCTAGGAATGGGACTTTGTGTGACAGACTCCATTCAGCCTGACAAATCAACTAGTGATGTCACTGTTTATGTGTGAAGTTCATGGGTGAAGCGTCCCTGTTGTATATAGAAAAGACATATCTTTCAACAGACATCTTGTTCTTCTGGTTCTTAGAACCTTTAGGTCCTCTTTTCTATCTTGTTCCCTAAGCCTTCAGGGTAGAGACCTAGACCTTAAGTACTCCTCTGAAAACAAGCATTACTGCCACCAAGTGGCAAGTCCTCTACCATTGCAGGCATCAGATCCCTGAAAACAATCAGCACTAAAACCCTGATTAGCAGTGGCTGTCTTGGGATTATTCTGGTAATAGTTTTGATAAGTGCTTGAATTTACCCAGTTGCTCTTCAAAGAGACTACTGTGAGTGAATACAAATGGCCCAGCTTGTAGCAACTGTTCCTCAAAGAAACTCCAAACCCAACAAACAGCAAGTTTTTTGTTTAGTTTTTTTTTTGTTTGTTTTCTTTTTGCAACAGTAACTGATGACTTCCCTTTGATAAGATTTAGTTCTACAGTGAGCTCTCTGCAATGCTTTGTTTTGATTTCTCTTTCTGAAATGCAGATCACTTTTGCTTTGTTTTGACAGAGCATCTTACTGTGTAGCACTGGCTAGCCTGGAATTCCTTATGTAGATCAGGCTGGCCTTAAACTAAAGAAAGAGATCCACCTGCCTCTGCCTCTTGAGAGTTAAGATGAAAGGTGTGTGTCACAAAACCTAAACTAAAAAAATACTCTGAATACTCAGTGAATGAATATAGCTAGTAATTACATACTTAAATATATTTCCCAATAATTATATTGTGAAACCTTTTTAAACATTTTCATATATATTTTGGTCATATTCTTCCCCAACTCCTCACCTACTCATCTGCTCATTCCAATTCATATCCTTTTCTCTCTTAAAAAAAGGTCAAAGCTTAATGAAAAACCAAAGCCCCCAAAGAACACATACACAGAACATACAAAGAAAAGAGGAGAAAACACACGATGAACACAAATCAAGTCTGTGTTGGACAACTATTGTTAACCATTAGACTGTCTAGGAGTGTGGTTAATATACTCACAATCACTCCTCTAGAGAAAACGAAGTCTCCCTTTCCAGCAGGTATTAACTGAAAATAACTTGTTTGAACTTTTACAGGACTTATACTGCTGTTGCAGTTTCTAATTGGTGTCTTCTAAATCTATTGTTTAATAACGTTTTAACAGAAGTGATGCATAATTAGGTGCTAAATTTAGAGAAGAAAATTTTAATCAGCGATCTAGATCATGGTAAATTATAGAAAATATCCATATTCTATAGACAGTGTGTACTATTTATTTATGGTGATTTTCTACTCAAATTTTGGGTATCATCTGGAGGTGAACAGTGTCCCTATAGAAGTGACTTAAAAAACTCAACATATAATGAAAAAGAGGAGAGGTGGGGGAAAAACTAAAAGAACTATAAGAAGGGGAAAAAGTATACCAACTACATAGAGTATGGCATTGGAGATCCCTACTGTTTGGAGTTATGTTCAGAGTTCTTCTGGCCTCTAATGACACTGGAACAGCTCACTGGCTAAGAGAAGGGTTATCACTGAGAAAAGCAATACTCTGGCTTCTGGGATGTGTAGTCAGACAGCAACAGGGTAGGAGGCCTCAGAGATGGGCTCGTAGTTGAGGAGGAAAGGCAGACAACTCTCATCACCATGCTGGAGCATCTGAAAGTAAGAATCGGAGCTAAGGATGAAGACAGCCTATGAGCATCACTGAAATGTGAAGAGGAGACATGAAGGGGAACCTGACATAAAAATCTTTGTAATATTTTATTCTTTAATGTATAAAATGACATTCTAAAATTTGTCATATCATCTATGATCACATTTAAGCAAATGCAAAGGGAAAAGAGGTAATTTTAAGTGTGTTTTTAATTTAGAGAAAAACGTTTTTAAGATGTCTACTAGCGAAAGGAGTGTATGATAATTTCAATATTCTATGTGATACCATTTAAAGGAATGATTTTGAAAATACTACTTAGACAGTACAAGAACCATCTAAGTT